TTAAAATTTTTTTAAAAAAAGAATATTTAACAAGCTTGGGTGTGGTCATGAATGTAGTATCTTTAAATCACCTGAACGCTGGTGGTCTAGTGGCAAGAAGCTGAGCTGCAAACCATGGTTCGAACCCAGCAGCTTCTCAGCAGGAGAAGGATGGACGATCTCCTTCAGGAGACTAACTGCCTCTGAAAACCCACCAGAGGGTCAGCTATGGGTCGGCTCCAGCTTGATGGTACACAACAACAACAACAATATGTTCATCTTACCTGTCTGCCTACCTATCCATTTGTAGATTAGTGCTTGTTATCACTGATATTGTGAGATGTGGGTTCAATAATGTTAAACAATCATTTCTGTATCTCGTGTCTTCCATTTTCCCAGTGATATTGTGCGGATCACAGCTTATGTTCTATTGCTTTTCTACTTTCTACTTACTCAATTTAATATGTGTCTCTAATCTAGTTTTATCGTTTAGGGAGTTTGGTGGTTTAGGGTTAATGAGTGTGTTGGCAACCCAGAGGCACAGGGATCAAATCCACCAGCTGCTCTGCAGTAGAAAGCTGGGCTCTCTCCTCCCAAATGATTTGCTGCCTCTGAAAACAACTGGAGGTTTAGCACGAGTCAGTCCTGAGTTATCAGTACACAATGACAACATCCAGTTACTGATCTAATAAGTAGGAAGTACATTCTTGGTAGACATTTCTCCTGTTGTTCATTCTCATTAAAACATGTACTTTTGCGGAGTTCAGACAGAAGAGACACCCCTTCTCCTAGTTATGGTTCTGTGTGTGTTCTCTGCAAGATGACCACAACAAGACCCTTCCTAACCCCAACTCTTAAGGGCTTTCTCTGTCCTTTTAAGTAGTAAGCACAACTCTCCAAGGTCTCACTGCTTGTTCAGCTTAAGCTATTTCCCTCGCAAGAAGGAGAATAGGGGGAGCTCTCTACACTGTGGTCAAAGCGTAGATGCAAATCTAGGGGACTTCACTGCACAATGACAGGGGCTCATCGTAACACTGACAGAGGTGAAGTAGAGGAAATAAAACCCCATTCCCTGAGACCGTTACGAAAATGAATAGCTGATCCTGTGAGCTTTTCACTGGGCCCATCTAGCTGTACAGCGCATCTCAGCTCAAGTGTTGGGTTCCTACTGGTGGTTGAGTACATCTATCACTTCTATGAATTTCTAAAACTGAGGTCTTCACCCAGATCACACTCCTGCAGATTCTGGATGAGAAAAAGTCAATAGTTTCTCTGGTTTGTGTGTAGAATCGAGGGACAAAGCCTGGCCACTAAAGCAATTAGCCATGCTACCGTGATCACAAAGTCTTTACAGTCTTTGTCTCAGCAATGTGTTAAATTGCGTCTGATTCCTGTTTCACAATCTCAAAGCAGGAACTGCCAGACTCCTACAGCCCTCTCTTCTCATCACAGTCACTTCCCTGATAGAAAGGAAAGACTGCTTGTCTCTCTACAGAGCAGAGCCCAGCGTAACACCGGCTTAGAGCAAGTTCCAGGGATGACCATGAGACCCATACCTGCCTCACAGCCCCAGCTGCCTCTGCCTTCCTTGCTCCTACCTCTGCTTCTGGGACTCTCAGGTGAGTGTGTCTGTCCTCAGACATCACCCTGCATGAAGGCTCACCTGAGTGTGCTTGATAATATTAGCCTCACCTCTGGACAGTGAGAGGGATGTATCTCTGGTTTTTGGTCAACTCTCTCTCTCTCTCTCTCTCTCTCTCTCTATCTCTCTAATATTGATTTGCTCACAAAGTTTGTATAGATTGTATTACACACTATTCTTCACTCATATTGAGTTTCACACAGTCATTCCCATGTATTAGGTTTTAAACATTAATCACCATTAGACCTTGCACATCATTACCCAGTCTTTTCAGGTTCCCACCAGATGCTTACCATTTGCTTCCATCCCTTCCTCCACCCACCAAATTGTGCAACCCTGTGGTTTCACCCCTACCTATCCTCACCCCGCTGCTCCCATCCCTTCCCCCTTTGGGTCCTCATACATGTTCTATTAGTTATCCTTCTATTTTTACAATAATGGTCTTATGCAGTATTTGTCCTTATGAGACTGAGTTAGATCACTCAGCATAGTGTTCTCAAGTCTCTCCCAAGTTATGTAACTTTTTTGTAAAAATCATTGCTCCTAAATGCTGCATAGTATTCCATTGACCTAGCTATTCCACTACTAGGAAAATACCCTAAGGAAATCAGAACTGAGACACAAACTGAGATCTGTACACCACTGTTCATAGCAGTGTTATTCACGATTTCAAGACCACGGAAACAGCCCAAATGTCCAATCACAGCTGAATGTATTGAGAAATTGTTGTACATTCACACAATGAAACTTTCTAAAGTAATTTTCCAATCTTCAGACTTCGCTCGCCTTTGTTTCTTCCTTCTTAAAATATTTTCTCAAGTGGTTGGTTTTTGGTTTTGTTTTGCATTAGGGCAGATATCACTCCCTCTTTCTCTGAAATTACTTCTCAGTCCTGATCCCCTTTCTCCTTTGCCTTTTTCTTTTTTAACACACCAACCCTAATATTTCCTTTTCTTTCTAGAGCTCTCAAAGATTATCCTTAGATGTCCTGTTGCTTGAAAATGTGGGTTCCCCCCGCCAGGGTCTAACAGAGTAAATCCAGTGCACTCCTCTGCCATTTCTTACCTCCCACAGTGTCACAGGGTGGAGCTATGTTACCTCAGAAGTGGTAGGGATTGGGTTGTCTCAGGAAAAAAGGTCTGGAGATCTAGTTCTGAAAGATTAGTCATTGAAAGCCACAGGGAGCACATTGCTACTCTGAGATTTTTTTTTAATTTTTTTTTTATTGTATTATTTTTACGTGTACCCTCAAATCAGATCTGACTGGTACAGGAGGAGATTGCCCCCTCCTTCTCCAGCAGAACATCTGGTGGATTGAACCGCATACTTCTGGGATTGTAGTGCAGCATCTTTCCACTAGGCCACCAGAGCTCCCTTTAATTTTTTTTTATTAGTATTAATTTTAATGAAAGTTTACAGAGACTTAGGATTTCCATTCATTCATTGTTTCACTTTTCTCCCTGCCCAACCTTCCCTCCCTCCAGTTCGCTCTTCTCTTTGAAAAGTATAAGAAAAATTCTTTCATTGTTATACAATTCTTCCCCTAAGTCCACCCCACTATGCAGCCTTCATTCTGGACTCCTGTCATGACAATAATACCTAATCACATACCCCTTTTCAACAGTTTACTCCCTCATCTGTTTCAATGCAGTATACATTATTTATCCCATCTTTCCCAGTCTCCCTCCAACCCCAAGGTCAGTCCTATTTTACAACAGTGGCACCATGCAGTATTTGTCCTTTTGTGACTGAGATACTTCACTCAGCATAATGCCCTCTAGGCTCACCCATTTTGAATAATATTGCATGAGTTCCTTGTTTTTCAATGCAGCATAGTATATACCACAGCTTCTCTATCCATTCGTTTGTTGATGGGCACTTAGGTTGTTTCCAATTCCTTGCTATTGTGAACAAAGCCACGATAAACAGGGGTGTACATATTTCTGCTTGGATGTCAGTTACGGTCTCTTTGGAGTATATTCCCAGTAGTGGATATGTTGTTTAATACCGTTGAGTTGGAACCAACCCATAGCTGTTAATCACACCAGAGGAGTTTGTCCATCCTTCTCCCTTGGAGCAGCTGGTGCCTTCGAACTGCAAGCCTTCAGGATTGCAGCCCAGCTTCTTGCCAGTAGGCCATCAGAGCTCCCTACTCTGAGATATATACAGGATCACTATAAGTCAGATATCATCCCACTGTGACTGCTTTTCTTGCTGTTGGTGATAGTGTTATTTCATCTGCCATTGTGCTCACTTCAGCAGCACATATACTAAAATTGGAATGATACAAAGAATATTAGCATGGCCCCTGTACAAGGATGGCACACCTACCCTGCTGTTGATATCCCCTGAAGGCTGATGCCCGCCTCCCTGGGCATAACCTGAAAGACCTACCTCCAATCCGAAGGAGAAAGTGAAGGTGCAACAAGATCCTGCTGAAGACTGAATTCAGACCACGGGACCTGGGAGACAGAAATAAGAACCATTAGCAACTGGAATGTGAGATGTATGAAATAAGAACCTAGTAAACATTAAAAGCAGTAAAAAATGAAATGGAATGCATTCTAATTAATATCCCAGGCATTGTCCTAGTAAGATGAAATTTATTTGTATTTCTAATTTTTTTTCATTCAACAATCAGATGGCCTATGTGACCTCAGTTGACTCTTTGAACAGACATGGTACTACATTCATCACAAAAAAGTATCTTTCAAGATCCGTCCTGAAGGACAATTCTGCCAGTAACAGGATAATGTGCAAGAAAAATGGGTTTGGTTTTTTGATTGTTAGTGTTTGATGTTTTGGGTTCTTTTTTACAATATTAACCCTGAAAAATGCCTCAAACATGAAGATAATGAAGATTTTTGCCATCTCCT